GGGGTGGTAATTGGATAATATAATTTAACAAGAAATTACGCAAAAATTGTATAAAAAATTAATAATTGTTATCCAAACTGTTATTCAGCAAAATTGTATAAAAAATTAATAATTGTTATCCAAAATGTTATCCAGCAATTGTATGAAAATTAATAATTTGTATCTAAACTGTTATTCAGCAATTGTATAAAAATTAATAATGTTATCCAAAATGTTATCCAGCAATTGTATAAAAATTAAAAATGTTATCCAAAATGTTATTCAGCAATTGTATAAAAATTAATAATGTTATCCAAAATGTTATCCAGCAATTGTATAAAAATTAATAATGTTATCCAAAATGTTATCCAGCAATTGTATAAAAATTAATAATGTTATCCAAAATGTTATTCAGCAATTGTATAAAAATTAATAATGTTATCCAAAATGTTATCCAGCAATTGCATAAAAATTAATAATTTGTATCTAAACTGTTATCCAGCAATTGTATAAAAATTAATAATGTTATCCAGCAATTGTATGAAAAAGGACTTCTGTTATGGAAACTGTTCCATGTTCTGGACAGAAATCTGTTTTTAAGGTGCTGCTGTATGTTATCTGGCAGTTATAGCAAAGCAAAACAAGAAACTTTTTAATATTTTAATAAATTGCAAAATTATTCCATTAGTATTCTAATCATCTGACATGAAAACAAGCTAAACTCTTTTAACTTTCTGCACACACTTCTCTATTTTCGTCATATTCACCCTATTATGATTGGAAAAAGAAACCAATTCGGCAAAATATTAATCTATCACAGGCCATGGGTAGTAAACACTCGGGCCTCTCCTAAATCTTGTTCAAACAAAATTGTTCTTTTAAAAAATAAAAAAAAGTGTTGATCAGCCCAGGTCCCCTTGTGTGCTCAGGTCTCTTTTTTGGCCCCGGCCCCGGATTATATCACTCGTTGCTCCCCCTTTCCCCAGTCGGCCCTGCAGTTAAGCATGTTATGGTAATTTCTGTCCAAGGATAGTAAAGGACATGGTTTTCATTTTTTTTAAAATCAGAGTGGGAACCTCTTACACTAAAATTGCTGGGGGTGGATAGTTTTTGGGAATGGGCATGACTTTTGATACCAATACAGGCCTAGGACCCCCCACCCATCGTATGTAGGACACGAATAGCAATCTAGATTAAAAAAATGGATGCAAGTGCGTGTTATTGGAGGGCCTGATACTACACATCAGCTACAGCAATTAATGCGAAGTTATGTACAAAATATTAAATGCAAACAAAATTATTTTAAATGTGGTGAAATTTGAACGAGATGCCAAGAGACCGAATTTTGATTTGTGTCGGTTTTTGCTCGTTTTCAAGCTCTTTAAATTTCGGAGGTCAGTAAAGCTTGCTTGTGGCCTGAATTGAATTGCCAAAATGGAAGTGATCGGTTTTAAGAAACACCAATCAGATCTCCACTGTCCATGTTTAAGATATGACAACGACCGCTTAACGGTCATATGCTGGTGAACTTTGAGTTAGCCAATCGAAATGCAGCTTACAGATATTTGAAAGTGAATCAAATCGATAGGCACAAACTGATGCTCTTCAGCTATACTGCTCAGTCTTCCAAATGTGAAGATATAGAGCTTCATCTGACTGACTGAAAAAAATGAGCGGTTATGGAAAAAGCATAGGTCACCAGAAGATGGACCCTAAGCGGGCGCTCTCAGATTTTCACGTAGGACAATGGAGATCTGATTTTAATCAGATCGAAGAAACACAGAGCATACTAAATCTGTGTGTGTGTGTGTATGTGTGTGTGTTTATTTGATTTAAAACATAGATTTAAATTTTTAGTCATATAATTACAATGTCTGCAGTGTGGCAGATTATAGTGATGTCTAGCACTGGGGCATCTTGCCGCAGACATGTAGCATAATGTCTCACCCATTCATATTATCCTGGCACCAGGCCGTCCAATCCTAACACTGACCTCTTGATGCTGAGTGCCAAGCCAGGCAGCTGTTAGTACCATTTTTATAAGTCCTTGGTATGACTCGACCGGGTTTGAACCCGCGACCTCCCGTATCCGAGGCGGACTATCGAACACCTAGGCCACCGGAATGGTACAAAGTTTGTTAATGCAGATGAATAGCAGAATTATTTAAAATTGGTCAAAGTATGTCCGTAATTAGTGTTTACATCACCTCATCACAGTAGTTATGACTATATGGTGATATCAAAAGGTGAAGTTCGAAAAATGTAAAAACAAAGAACTGGACAAAAACTGTAGGAAGATAAACCCGTCGCAACAAATCTAAGCATAAATTACAATATAAACTATTAAATGTATAGATGTGAAATATATTTATGCATAAAAAAGGTGTAATACATGTACAATGCTTAAAACGTATTGTTACACTAAATACGAGGTATAATTTAACATGAAAACCCAAGGATATAGTATGCATACTAAATAATAAAATTAAACAATTAATTAGTGGTGTAGCAATAAATTCCGTCAACACCACACCACCTCGCATAACTTAATCTTGCCCCTTCCCCCCCCCCAATATGATGGTAATTTTTAGCTCCCGCTGTGTACCCCCTCCCCCACTAATTTCCATTCGCAGAGTTGAGAGGGTTACTACTTTGTCGATTGATGTAACATGTATATAACAGGCATTACATGATAGCCATTCACATCATCGTTTATAAAGATTAATAGTTTGTATATATATATATATATATATATATATATATATATATATATATATATATATATATATATATATATATATATATATATATATATATATATATATACTGCTGAGTCGTACACGGGGTTCAAAAAATACGAAGGTAATTTATTTTGAATAGAAACGAAATGTAAAAGGTTAACTGGTACTTCTTGGAGTGAATCAACGACACGACACCCTTTATAAGCAGTTAAAGTGTCACCGTACGTTTGACCTACATCCGGGTTTTACTAGTCTATACTGAAACCTTACAGAAAGTTCAGGCTCGATTAGTGCAAGGTACTTCGATGCGCTTCTTGATTACGGTAAGCAAAGTAACTATATACCATATTTATACATGTATATGAACGGATATTGTTAATTTGAGGAGTGGATTGGAGAATATAATTTGTACCGGGACTAAAAAAAATGGTTCGTGATTAATTATCAGTTGTTAACAAATGTATACGAAACGTGACCCATTAATTATCTTTTGATAGCAAATGTATACAAAACTTGTGACTTGTACGTGTGCACTAAGTAAATGCTGCCAACAATTTCATTAATAAAAGTGGTTCTTGAAATGTTCTTTTAAACTGGAAGCTTTAACGCTAGTTCTTTTCGTTATATGTCATAATTGATTAAGACTGGATTGCCAAAAAATGTAGTGATACAAATACGAACGATCGGTCTTCAGAGCCTTGTCAAATAGTTATTTGTTGTATCATGATACTTTTCTAGTCACAGTAAAGTCACTGGATCAACATGGAAGGCACGATTACAAATCTGACATTTATAAACCCTTTAAGTTATATTTCGTCAGAATTAATGGATTTGATGGACTCTGATAATGTTGTATGTTTGTGTATGTGTGTGTCACTGAGAGACGGAGACAGACAGACAGAGACAGAGTAAATTGCTCTTACCTAGATGCCACCGTAGGTAATGGTTTTACGACCCAGCTACTATACCCATAAATCTCATTCAGGAAGTACTATCAGAGATCAAACATTTGCTGCGACCTGACCATACGTATACAACAGAACGTTTTTCATCGTAAGATCCGGTTGTATTAGACACACACACAAAAAAAACTTTTCTTTGGCTTTCTGCACTTGACTGACTTGAATGAATACAGATGCTGTTAGGAACGTATCTGCAACAGTTTCCGTGTATAAAACACATTCTGTTAATAACATTTAGGTCTCTCTCTCTCTCTCTCTCTCTCTCTCTCTCTCTCTCTCTCTCTCTCTCTCTCTCTCTCTCTCTCTCTCTCTCTCTCTCACACACACACACACACACACACACCTTGATATGCGAGGGAATGTTTTCATCAAAACGTATTACGCCATGTTCGTGTTATATGTCGTTATAGATCAAGTTTTAGATACCTTTTTGGTGGGTGTGAGGTGGATCCTGACCTAATTTTTCCACTAATCCTAAATATTTCGTTATTTAATGCAGAATGTTCGCCTCATCTGCAGTATATTTTTCAGGGTAAAAGATTAAAAGTGAGTGTTGTTGACTTAGAAAACTTTCAAGATATTTATTTAGAGTTATCAAGTGTGTAGCTTTATTCCTAACATATAAAAATCTTCCATTTCTATTAAATTTAATGACGGTTTTAAGGTAAGTATGTTAAAATCTAATAATATATCTTATAGCGTGGAGTAATTATGTTATGTTTGCCCTACAATATGTTTATTGACATTTTTTTGTAACAATTATTGCACAAGTTAATTTCCTTTCCACTTCGGCTATTCTGTGACTTTCGTCTTACAAGGTTAAACTGTATCTTCTGACGTGGAAGAAAACCAAGATATCTAAGAAAATCCCATTGATTTATCGGTGAACAAAAGCATAAACTGTCTGTAGATTTGTGCATATTCTCGGAAAAAGATTAACAATGATAGAACATTTATTTCATATTGGTCATCACGAAAATAGGTTGTTGGAAACGTCCAATGTAATATTTTAGCTATCATTACACACTTGACATACACATTTACAGAAATTCGTATATACAATTTACAGAAATGTGTGTGTGTGTGTGTGTGTGTGTGTGTGATTTTGATTTTTAACGTAGCTTTTATTTTTTTAAATCATATTGCCACGATGTCGTCAGTGTGGCGGTTTATAGTGATGTCTAGCACTGAGATTTAATGCTGCAGACAAAGCATGGTATCCCACCCAGTCACATTATCCTGACAAAAAACCGACCAATCCTAACACTAACCTTTTAATGCTGACCCCCAAGCGAGACAGCTGTTATAAGTCTTTAGTATGACTCAGCCGGGGTTCGAATCCGCGACCTCCCGCATCCGAGGTGGACGCTCTAACCACTTAGTCGATTGGACACTCTCACTCATCCACCACACACATCATACATACTAATATACATACATACATACATACATACATACATACATACATACATACATACATACATACATACATACATACATACATACATACATACATACATACATACATACATACATACATACATACATACATACATAATGGCAGGAGGATATTCATGTACAGTTCTATCTTCTAGTAATTTGTCTTTATTTCTATATCTTATTCATTGCATGCATCGTTTGATAATTGTACGTACCAATGCTTTGGCGTGAGAATTGAAAAAGTAAAACGATTTTCTGCCTGTATTTATGTTATCGATTACATAAAAAATGATTAGATTATGTAGTCATTAAGGAAGAAAATAACGGTGACGATGAGGATGATAAACAGTGCTACATATAAACTCCGCTCCGGTTTAAGCTTAGTATTGTCGCCCACTTGACAGAAAACCTATTCACCTGATATAGTTCTTATTGACAAGGACAAATATAATTATGCACAAAAGGCTGATTTATTTTTAATGACTCTCTCTCTCTCTCTCTCTCTCTCTCTCTCATAGATAGATACTTAAAGACTCATCTGGATTTACGGATACTGTAGCTAGGCCTACATATCAAATTTGTCCGGTTTTTTTTTTTTTTAACGTTCATGGTACAATACAGGGTGTTCTTAAACGAAGGATTCTTCCAGTGTGGTTGTATTCAATAAAGGAAACCGGAAAACTGGAGATAACCACATAGGTATAAAAAGTCCTTTTTCTATCCTATGTATGTTCCAGAATGTGCGATTAGACCTTGAATTGCGGATGTGAATCGAGTGACTCTAAAACAGACAGACAGATAGATAGATAGATAGATAGATAGATAGATAGATAGATAGATAGATAGATAGATAGATAGATAGATAGATAGATAGATAGATGTGTGAGTAGCTAGGTAGGTGGGTGATTAGGTAGGTAGTTACCTAGATAGGTAGGTAGATAGATAGCAATAAACTCCTCTTCTTTAATGTTATTTGCCCGTTTGATCTCATTTTAATGGATGATATGTTGGTTGGAGACTAACGTGTAAATAGAAAGTAGGGGAAAAAAACGACTAGAGTGACGGAATATTGTTTATAATTTATTAGGCTCTTTTCCGATTTTTAATAACTAATAGGAGTTGGGACATGATGTGATTATGACTTTTAGCTTAGCTTTGACATTTTTTTTTCCAGTCATATCGCTTCGATGCCTGCAGTGTGGCAGTTTATAATGATAATAGCACTGGGTCATCATGCCGCAGACACGTAGAATGATGCCCCACCCAGTCACATTATTCTGACACTAGGCCGACCAGTCTTAACACTAACCTCTTAATGCTGAGCGCCAAGCGAGGCAGCTTTTAGTACCATTTTTGTAAGTCTTTGGTATGACTCAAACGGGGATCGAACCCACGACCTCCCGCGTAGGTTTATTATGATAATGATTTTTATCATAATCTTCATCTCGTTTCTTACTATGAGAAGAAATACTAGTCACTTTAAGAGATGTCCTTGCCCAAGATTAGAGACAGAGAAGAAAGTTCGGGCTCTCTTAAGGATGAAGGGTGTCACTCATAACCGTGTTGATACGGCCACATTTTTTTAGGAACTGGTGATATAAGAGGTACGGTGGGATTCGCTGTAACGAAAGAGAAGAGTCTTTTCTGATTATCGAACGAACAGACTGATTTGTACACGAGGTTGCTGTCTTTTTATACATGGTCTTTCCTCTCGAATCAGAATAAACTCTCATCCCTTTCCCACAGGAAACGTGAATCATAAATTTGCTGACATTTGGGTACAAGCAAATTGCATGATTGCCTAACATTAGCTTTCCTCAAGTCTAAAATTTGTTGACGTTAATCTTTAAATACAAGAAAATGTAATTGCTTAAACAAGTGCGATCTTTACCAAAACAGCACACAGCTGCTGCACAAAAGCAAATCAAATTTTAATCTCAATTAATGGAAAATTACTTCAATATAATTTAATTAAAAATTACTTTTTATACGATTAGAGAAGATTAAAAGATAATTTCAATCGTAATTCTTTTACTAAAATATTGTGTCCTAATAATGCTTCCCGGGTCATTTGAGGCTAGTTTTCGTGTCTCGATAAAAAGAAAAGTTACATTCATACAAAGAAGATAAAAATATTAAAAATAAGAAATACATTGCATTGTTAAAATAGTTGATAAATTGCCACAAAAAAAAAAATGAAAAATCATTGCGGTCCATTCTGTTCAAATAAAAAAACTACAATGAGAAAAACACTCATATTCAGTAAGATACAAAGAGTACAACCCCTCCCCCCGCTGCAACATATTTAGTAGCATGCCAGGAATGCAGCGAAAATGCACTTCACATTTTGGTTATAATTCAAAAATACAATGGAAAACAACATGGCACGATATTACATAAAATTGAGAAAAATTGCAATAAGCCAAAGTTTTTTTTGTTTTTTTTTTTAAATATGCAAGAAAATTTTATACAATCTAGTACTACGACTAGTCCTGTTAGATGATTATAGAAAGTTAATATCACCATGCAGTTTTTGTTTACTCTATTTTCTTTTTACATGTTAGTTTACTCTGTTTTATTATTTTTTTTATTTTATATAACATCAGCAGAACATATTTATAGATGTCTGCGGTTATTGTGCTGATTACTGATATAGTGAAAATGAAGCTGAGAAATAGTGATGGAATTATCTAAAATAAATTACCAGATGGCTATTATGTGTGTAGAATTGGAGAAAAATAATTGCTGCAGAAATGCTAGATTAATCGGTGCAATTCACTAATTTATCTCAATAATTAGTGATATGCCCATCATGTTATAGACGTATGAACAAGTGCGCAATAGAAGGGTGTATTCATAATATCGAAGCGATATTTCTTATTAATATGATGTGAATTATGATTTTCCAATATTTTTTCATACATGAAACAAAAATATTTTATTCTAAAGAAATATCTATAATGTGTGGTACGACGCGGTATTATTTCGGTAAACCAAGTAACTATCTAACGTGTGTTCATGATGCCATCATTAAAACCGGAAATGATTGATACGTTGTGAATGTCGTCTGGACAAATTGGGATATGTAGCACAATATATAGGTCACGATCTTTACGTGTTGTTATAAATATTATTATTAGTAATGCGGATCTTTTGGCGCTATTGAATAACATAGATAATCGGTAGATACGCTTGTTCATTTTGATTTATAGATTTCATTAAAACATGCTATGAAATCAGTATAGCAGGTGAATTTGACTGCTGAAAATTCCGCTGTATAACTAATTTGCTGAGTCTCAACATCTTGAGCTGCAATTATTTCTTCTATTTTCTAATATTCTTCACGAATATTTCGACAGTGGCGAGCAGCGCTTGCTCTAAATAGTATAAGCGTTTTTGAGTTTCGAATAATAACCGTTAACATGTTTATCAACCTGTAAGGTATTGGAGGAGAAATCACCTCCATATCGAACAATAGCACCGACAATTTCATTATTATATTGCGTGAGCATATTTATATGACTTGCATATGAATGTTTTCATTGTCAGCAATTTAAATAGATATTAACCTATTGTACCAATGAAGAGCAAAACTTCTCTTTTGCACATTTGAAGGTTGCAAACACCTTCCTGAATTAACTAATTTATTAATGTGATTGTTGTATTAAACTGCATATTCATTGTAACACGTATTTCATTTATCTGTGAAAGAATACTATTTATGTAGCTACATTTGACATCTCTGTGACACTATTCAATAAATTCGACTAAAAAATTCAGTGAAAGCCTGATTTAAAAGTATGAATTATCGGCTGAACCATACAATAGTGGAAGAGGCTGAAGATAACCCATAGTTCAAATTGTTTTTTTTTTATACTGCGGACCCTGAATTTAGAGTTAAAAAGGCACACATTCCTTTGAACCAAATTCATATTCCATCCTAACCTTAAGGAGAAAGAAACAGGTTTAAAAGATTTGGCGACAGAAAGAAGAAAACGAAATAGAAGACATGGGAAAAGAAAGGAGTGGAGGATATGACTATAATTAGCTCTTCATTATACAAAGAAATTTTAATTCAATTACGAAATATTCGATCTAGTCGTTTACAACGTGTATTCGATTGTGTGCGTGTTCTGTGAAATGCTTCTTTTAATGCCGGAGAAACTTTCTCTTGGTTGCCATTATGCCGTGGATCCATCGGTCCGCTTTACTAAGTAATGTTTCTTCCCAGATATCCATTTGGATGTTAAAAGCTTATCAACTGAGCACCATTCTGTATTATTGTCAATCGCTGTGTGACCATTGCGGTGCCTGAGTCAGTAGAGGGACAGAGTCATTTGTATCTGGTATTTGGGGTCGATAATCCCGAGGATATTTGTAATCCTTAAGCCTGTTGTTGTCCACGAGTGATTTCTTTTGTTTATTGTCAGAACAATGGCGTAATCTGTAGACGTCATTCGGACCTTATTCAGAAATGTCATACCGACCATCCATCAGGGGTAAAAAAAAAATTAATTATAACCCTACGGGTAAGTGTGCGATTTCTAGGTTTACATAATCTCCATCGCGAAAGGAAGGTTCCTTCGCTTTCTGGTCGACCTTTATTTGGTTGTGTGTTGCGCTTCACGGATGTTTACTTTAGTTAATTCTTGAACTATCTTCACTCTTTGAATTACCTGATTTATATATTGTTGTGTTTGTTTCTGGACAGTCTCTCGAGGCGTAAGAGACACATTTAAATTGAACTCCTTTCTTTCCCAAAGACTATGTAATGAGGCGAATAGCCAGTTGAGTTAATGGATGGGCTCATTCGGAATGCCATCATTATGCTGGACAAAAGCGACGGCCAATCATCTTAGTGCTTATTACAGTAGGCTCTTAACGATTTTAAAGTGCTATTCAAACTTTATATACGGCATTAGTTTGAGGGTGATATGAACTAGTATGGTACCG